TCTATATCATCGTCATTTTTCTCTAGAACCTTGATATTTGTACAATAACATAAATGATCATACTGGTGTGCTTTGTACATTTTATTTGTAGTACCAATCTTTACGTTTGAGAAAATATAAATTTTTTTCTTCTTATATTAATTTTCTCGGTCATAATTTCGTATGAGATTCCAATATTTGTGTTTTTTCCTTCCCATATTCGAGTGATTCTTTCTTTCAAGATGACATCATTTTCATCTACTCAAAGCTCATTTAATGACGTGTATGCTGTAATTTTATTATTTTGTCCCGACGTCCTGATAAGATATCCACAAATTAATTTAATACCAATATAAATTTAAATCATCTTGATAATGAGAATTAATAAAATTAGTGACCATAATTAATGAAATATCATAATATAATTTTATTAAAACTTATTAATTATTAATAATTAGGAAAAATAGTATGTCAGTCACTCAAATTATAAAAATTTTATACCAATAATTAATTTAGATTTTTTTCCTAGATTAATAATTGATAAATGATAAAAAACAATTTATAACATCACTTAAACTTAGGTTAATTTATATGAAGATATTGTCTGCAATTATGATAATTGAAAATATGTAATCAATTTATTACCTGTTGAAAAAATGTTTTCTAAGCAAATCCTGATTGTATCTTTATTTTTTCACTGCTTTTAGATGGAGTTTTAAATGTAGATGAGTCAAATGTAGCAACAGGTGATACATCTAAAATCTTTTTCTTTGCCTTTACTACTTGTGGTGCATATCAGTGTGGATAAGTGTAAATTATAATTTCAAAATTATTTAAAATACATGAATTGAATATTCACAATTGTGAACACGATCTAAATTAGGTAGTTAAATTAAAGTAAGACTTGGCTGTTTAAATTGGTAAGTTGTATTTGGTAATATTAATTTGATAATTTAAAATTTATTTTAAATTTTGTATTATTTTAGAAATATTTATAATTAAAATTATTTGAAAACTTTTGAACATGATCTAAATTACGTAACATAAATTGTGATTTGGTAGTTTAAATTGGTAACTTGTATTAGGTAAGATTAATTTCATAATTTAAAATTTACTAAAATTTTGCTATTATTTCATATATATTTTGAAGTATAAAAATTTGATTTGGTAGTCTAAATGTGTAACTTGCATGTGGTAAGATAAATTAGGTAATTTGAAATTTAATAGAATTTTTGGAATATTTCAAAAATAGTTTGGAATTAATCTAATTTGAAAATTTATGAATACATTTTAAATTAGGTAGTTAAACTAAGTGAGATTTTATAGTTTAAATTGGTAACTTTCATTTAATAAGATTAATTTGATAATTTAAAATGTAATAATATTTTTGGTATATTTCAAAAACATTTGGAAATTAAACGAATTTGAAATAATTTGAAAAATTATGAACACGATCTAAATTAGGCAGTTAAACTAAAGTGAGATTTGATAGTTTAAATTTGTAACTTATATTTGGTAAGAATAATTTAATAATTTAAAAATTACCATGAATATGTTTTCAAAACTATCTAAAAATGGAACAAAATCCAAATTAAATTTAGAAATTAGGAAAACAAAAATTTTGAATTATATAAAATTAAAAAAAAATATAATGTTAATTAATAAATTTGATAAAAAAATTATTTGGATAAAAATTATAATTTTAGTATTGCTTAAAAATACGAATTAAATGTTCACAATTTTGGTAATTTAAATTTTCTAAAATTTTGTTATTATTTTAGGTATATTTTGAATTAAATAATTTGAAATAATTTTAAAAATTGTAAACGCGATCTAAATTAGATAGTTAAATTAAAGTAATATTAGGTAGTTTAAATTGGTAATTTTTATTTGATGAGGTTAATTTGGTAATTTCAAATTTAATAAAATTTTAGTATTATTTTAGGTATATTTTAATATTAAAATAATTTGAAATAATTTAAAATTTTGTGAACATGATCTAAATTAGGTTGTTAATTAAAATAAGATTTTGTAATTTGGAATTTACTAAACTTTTAGCATAATTTAATACATTTTTTAATGAAAATAATTTTATTTTTAACATAATTTCTTTGTTGTTAAAATTTTTTCACGACTATCTAAAAACCAAAATAAAAAATTCAATTAAATTTAAAATTTTGGAAACTAATTTATTTAAAAAACTAAAATATATTTACAAAAATATTCAAAATTAAGAATTCAAATTAGAATTTGGAAATTAGGAAACTAAAATTTCTTTGAAGCAAATTTAATTTTAGTCATCATATTTAAAAACACCAAAAATTCTCATATGTTTGAATTCACAAACTCTTAATTTACATCAATAATTTTTATTTTAATAAACTTTCACAAATTTAAAGAATTAAAAAAATCCAAAATTCAAAATTAATGTCATAAAATGTATTTTATAATTTATATTTTGAAACATAAATCAATATTCCTAAAATTAAAATAATTTGAAATAATTTAAAAATTTGTGACCATGATCTAAATTAGGTTGTTAATTAAAATAAGATTTGTTAATTTATAATTTACTAAACTTTTAGTATAATTTCACATTTTTTAATTAAATTAATTTTATTTTTAACATAATTTCTTAGTTGTTAAAATTTTTTCACTACTATCTAAAAACCAAAATAAAAAATTCAATTAAATTTAAAATTTTTGAAACTAATTTATTTAAAAAATTTAACTTCTATAATATTTAAAAAACTAAAAATATATTTGCACAAATATTCAAAATGAACAATTCAAATTAGAATTTGGAAAATTAGGAAACTAAAATTTCTTTGAAGCAAATTTAATTTTAGTCATCATATTTAAAAACACCAAAAATTCTCATATGTTTGAATTCACAAACTCTTAATTTACGTCAATACTATTTATTTTAATAAACTTTCACAAATTTATAGAATTAAAAAAATCCAAAATTCAAAGTTAATGTCATAAAATGTATTTTATAATTTATATTTTTTAACATAAATCAATATATTTTATTTTAACACTCTCAATAAACTAAGTCTAGGAAATTGAATCAAAATATGCATCAAATTATGATTGAAATAAATATTCGATATAAAAAAATATTAAACATATTAAAATAAAAGTAAATTATCATGATAAAGGTATGCTAAATACCTAAATTCTTTTCTCTGAAGTAACAACAACACTATGGGTTGAAGATAAAAAAATCATCGATTTGTTTTCCTATAGTAGTGCTTATTAGAGATAAAATAAAAACATAAGAATTGAATATAAAAAATATTATCCAAGTAAGAATGCTTTGGATCATACATAAATATGAGAGAGTTGTTTTTCAGAATTAAAATTCAAGATCTCAAAAAATAATATTTTTCAATAATAATTAAAACAAGAATATTGCCTAAATTAAAATAAAACTTATATTGGATTGGGGTAGATTAAATACCTAAATTGTTTTCCTCTAAGCAATAAAAGAGCTATATGTTGAAGATAAAATATCAGAGATTATTTTTTACATGTAGTATTTTTTTCCAAGAAAAATTAAACTAGCAACTATTAGATATAAAAAATAATAATTAAACATATAAAACTAGAAATAGCTCATCAAGCACTGCATAATAAGTACCTCAAAAATACTTCTCTTAGAAAAAGTATCTTGGGTCATAAACAAAATTATATAGGAATTAAACTGATGATCTAAAAGAATTCCATAACAATTAAAATTGGAAAAAATAATACAAAAATTAAAATAAAATAAATATAAAACAGGGCTAGATTAAATACCCGATGTATTTTTTGTAGATTGAAAAAGCTTGGAATTCAGGAAAAAAATTTTCGGCGTGAAACTATGAAATGAAATATGTTTTTTTCATCTTGAAAAGAAATGCCTAAATGAGATTATGCGGATTTGATCTATTTATTATTTAAACTAGTTACTAAAGATAATGCAAAAGTTGCACTAGTTTATTATAAATTGATTTTTATTATGTCTCACCTGTCCCCTCCATTGGTCCCATATTTTGAGTCCCCGTAGCAGCACTCTTTGAATGGTCATATTAGATGATATGACATGTGATAAAAAAATTTGAGAAGGAGGAGGATGAGATGACATCCTTTGGTGAGTTTTTAGCTTTTTATTTTGCTTTAATGTATATCCTAATTAAAGGTAGGACACAGAGATGGGATGCATAGTAACAAAATATTAATAATATTCCTTCATGGGGATTTTAAAATTTTAATGTATAACATAATTTTAGTTTTTACTTGTCTTCCAATTTTTTTCTTTTTATTCCTTTAGTGGGATTTTTTTTTGGCCAAAAACTTAATATTAAAAAATTGTGCTAGAAACTTAAGTTTATGAATAATTAATTGTAGAATAGAATTTCATACAATTTTAAAATTAACATTCTATCTCTTTAATGACATTTAAAAGAATATAATCTTATGGATAAAAAAGATATAATCTTAAAATTAATTAAGTAAGTTGTAGGATTTCTTTAACTTAAGATTCTATTTCTTAATATCCAAAACATTTTCAATAACTTTTTTAACAAGATAAAAAATTTTGTTATATTTTATTAACTAATTTTTTTCACGCATAGGATTGATTTAGGATATTACAATCTTAAACTCTGTTATACCTAAATAATTATCAAATAGAACTTTTTGCGTAATTTAAGGAACATTATTTATAGAATTTTAGGTAAATATTAATGGATTTTACATAAATCTGAGTAGTTATTAAATTCAGTTTTTTTTGCCAAAAAATTGTTTGTTTTCCATTTTTTCCTCTGCAAATTTTTTTAAATGGTGAAATTGAAGAGAGGAAAAGATATAGTAGGAGAAAGAAAACGAAAGAAAAAGATTTGATCTCGATTCTAATTATATAAAGAATTTATTTTAAATTTAAATTGATATTAAAGTAGGGTCCCCCCCTGAAAAAAAAAAAACAAAGCGAAGGAATTTCATTTCTGAAAAATAAAGGAAAGCAGCCAAGCTGCACCTTACATGAATGATCCACGAAGGAAGTTGCTAGAAAACCCCTGTTCCCTGTGGTTGGGGCGTCTTTAGATGATAGACCCCTCCTCTCCTCCCCTCTTCCTTAAAAATCAATAAATTAATTATGGCTTTAGTTCCGTCAACCGCCGTCGAGTCTCCGTTAATAGCGGAGGTGGACATGGGTGGCGCCTCCTCCGATCCCTCCTCCGTCACCGTTAGGGCAACCGTAGTCCAGGCCTCCACAGTCTTCTATGATACGCCGGCCACTCTCGGTATCAATCATTTTTCTCTTCTTTCGACATTAATTTGTTAAATTTGCAAACGCAACGCCCAAGTTTCTTATTTTATTGTTGAATACGTGGCACAATTAGGGTGTATTGAACACATTTCTGAATCTGCAGTCGAACTGTAGCGCAATTAGGCTATTTGCAATTCCTAGCAAAGAAGAACTTTATGAACCTAGAAGTGGGGAAAAAAATTGTTAATTATTTTGGGACTTCAGAAGAATGGTGATGAAAGTTCAACACGGTTTATGCTATTAGTGGTGATGTTGGACCAAACCTGGAAGCCAAGTCTTCGATCGACGGCTATGGTTAGTAGTTAACTCAGCCATGCAAACTTGAATATTGTCGAGATTAATGGCAATTTTTTTCCCTACTAAAGTATTATCCGCAGAAGGTTTTTTCGTCTTTATGTAACAGACTGAACATAGTTGGTATTTAAGCTTCAGTCTGAGGGGAATTATCACAATAGTTAATACGTTAGGAAGTTGGAGAAGTTTATTTTACTCTCACATTGGAAAACTATGTATATCCTATTTATTCTACTATGAATAAAATTTGACAATCCCTTTATAGCATAAATCCACTTTTCCATTGTAATACTCTCCTTAGTCATGAAGTGTAGAGTCACAACTCTTCTGCAACAATTACGTACATGAACTTTCATTAATTTTGTCTGTACGTCTTGATATAAGATCACAACAAACTTTATATAGCAAGGATGGTGGCTGCTGCTATTCAAGTTGTAAGGGAGTTTTATCTATGGATTGCTTTTACTATAATGGCCGTAAATGTAATAATATAAGAAAGTGGCTCAGTATACTGAATAATTCGTTTACATGTTCCTGGTAATGACAATGCAAGAAGAGTGTCATGGGAAATGTTTGGAACATGCTCACGTTTTACTGAACGGGGAGCTGAATCACCTGTACATGCTGGAAGTTACATAAAGTTTATTTACTACACCTTGTACACCTTGACCGGTTATATACATTTTCAACTTCATACACGTGCGGATCATCTTGTATCTCTTTAATCTATAACAAGCATTGAAAGTATAAATCATGTTTGCTGAAACCTAGCCCTGCTATGTAGATTACTGTTGTGTAGATCAGCATTCTCACGGCAATATCATTGCAGATAAGGCAGAGAGATTAATTGCAGATGCATCTGCCTATGGGTCACAGCTAGTTGTATTTCCAGAAGCATTTGTTGGTGGCTACCCCCGTGGTTCAAATTTTGGTGTCACCATAGGCAGCCGTTCAGCCAGGGGTAGAGAGGAATTCAGGAAGTATCATGCTGCAGCTATTGACGTGCCTGGTATAATAGATGTTACACTGTTTCCGGTTCCGATTCGATAGTGAAAAAAGATAATTTTTAAATCTCATCCAAATCAAGTCATTGCTTGGCTATATGTTAACCTCTTATTATTGTTATATCGTATGCTACTATAAAACTGTGTTGTCATGTTCAAACATTTCTTCCCAAAATGCTCTCTAACCATCCATTCATAAATACATGAAGGCATATATATGCTCAATTTTTCATATCAACCCCATTGATTACACATGCATTCATACATACGTGAATATACATTATGTACTTAATTTTTCATAACCTCCCTATTGATTACCATCAATTTTACATTTAACCATCCACTCATAACCTTCTTCCACTAACTCTTGACGCTAAACATACTCTTTATTTGCACTAACAATAAAAAACGTTATAACTATTCCTTTCTCATCAAATCACTATAAATAAAAAAATCTAATTTATAACCAAAATTTAGATGAGGAAGAAAGGAGTCAAATCTATACGTCTCACAACCCGCAACAATCAAGTCTGTATCTCTCTTGCTAGATGGAACTCAACGCTTAAGGGTATAAGCATAAGTATGCCAATGGTCCCGTGGCCGATCAATGAAAGTAGAGGATAGATATTATGGTAGATTGGCTAACAAGCCTAACATTATTGTCACGTGTGTTGCAACTTTGGGATGATTCAATGAGGGTTCAAGTTATGTATTGCTTTTGTGGCGTTGTGTTGTCGATAATGAATTTGGTTTATGTTTGTAATAGTGTCATACTACAACATGATAGCTCACTTTTGATCGTAGTGGCTGTTATGCATCATGCAGTTTGTAAGTGGGGTCAAATACATGCATACTTTACTGTTTGATCTTGAATGTAGTTGAAGAAGTAATTTAATAATTACTTGTTGAAAAATTTAATAATTTTTTTCTCTATGCGGTTAACTCGCGAGATGTTCTCACCCAAATATAAGCAGCTAAGGTGTACGAAGTCTTAATAGTTTCATAGTTGTTTGAATAATTTTTAATTGGTAAATCTTGGTTTATTGGAAGATTATTTAAATTTGAATCTATTTTTTAACAAGTATTATATTTAATTATCTAGATACCTTAATTGATATTGTCATTTATTTTTAACAAACTGTCCATTTCTTGATAGCATGACCATTCAAAAAAAAACATTAAGATACGAAAATTTTATGATAATGGAGTTGTTTTCGAATGCTGAATTAGGGGTGCAAAACCATAACCGTATCCGTGGATATATTTGTAACCTTATTTGTTAGGGTACACCCATTAATACTGAAATCAATAACCGATAGAATATGGTTTCAAATACGGTTAAATAGTGAAATATCTAGATCCATATCCAAAATATTCGAATATATATTGATCATACATCAATTGTTTCAATCCTTAGATTAATGAATTTAAGACTATATTTGATGATCAAGAGATCAAATCTTAGCTTTCCAGATATAACAAACTATTAATGAACTCTCATGTATCATATGAACTATGTTTTTTTCGATATTATTTCATTTTCTCATGTCCATTTTGTATTCGCATGTATATTAGCATATACATCTGCATGTATATTCGTATCCATATTCAATTTTAGCGGATATGGATATATAATTTCTTTACCAAGGCATATCCATATGCATATTTGTATTCGTGATTGATAAGAGCATATGGATATGATAAGTATAATATACAAGCCGTATCCAAATCGTTTGCACCCCTAATGGTGATACTAGGTTCCAACTGTATAACTGTGACTATAGGCAAAGTGTTCTCGCTATGACTTTCATATATTCTCCGTGTTTATAGTCTAGGTGAGATAGAATCTTAGAAACCTAAAATTCAAATGGATTAATTGCGCATAGCCTTCCTATAGTATCAAACAATTGCGCATAGATCTCCAATAGTTTTAATTGAGCAGATAGACTCCTTATACTATTTTCCCAATTGAAAATAAACCCTCTTGGTGAACTTCCTTTTACTCTTTTAGAAGTAATTAACAATTTGGGGTCTATTGCCACCAATGGAGCTGGAGGTGTTTATTCGCATTTATAAAACTTTTCTGACTTTTTTAGTAGTAAAAGAAATTCTCTTAGAGGTGCTACAAGGGATCTATTCACAAATTGGCGATATTACAGTTACAAGGGAGTCTATGCGCGCTTAACCCTACAAATGGATTAACGATGAACCTATGACGGCCCTTCTAATGTAAGAAAAAAATAACCTCACAGTTAAGCTATATTTTCCATCGACTTGTACATGGCAACGCACATGCACCATACTAGTTTGTTGAAATACATATTAGATTGTCTCGTTATCATTCTTTGTAGTGATATATAACATGACATTTTCCTTCATCTTCCTCTTCTCTTTTGCAAACAATTAGAATAAATGTAGGTTTGGAGATTTTGGAAGATGGAAACTCCCAAGTAACATTCATCCCTTAGTATAAGTAGAACAAATTTAAATTAGGAGGTATTGAAGATTTAAGTTTTTGCTATATTTCACATTTGTGTTACATTCGTGGGTAGAAATAGAATCCAACCATGAAAAATTGGAAATACTAGAGCTTGAAGACTATTTTAACGCTTTTAGATAAGGTGTCATCCCTTGGTTATAGACTTAGAACAATCTTTATAACATCTTATAGGATAATAATATGATTATTTGGTGAAAGAAGTAAAATTAGAGTTTCATACATTTACTTGTTGAAGTAATGAAACAATGAACTTGTATCTGTATAAATCATATATGAAATTGTAGCTGTATAAAATCATATACCTTTATCATCTAATTCTTGTGTTCTTATAGTCAAAGAATATTAAAAGTTAATGCTAAAGTTTTGAAACGGAGTATATGTCAAATAACTTCCATTATGCTCATTACATAACTGAGAGTCCGGGACGATACGGGAATGGCAAGGAAAGTAGTAGTTTCCAAAAGAAATGGCACACTTATATTCTTATGTAGGAGGTTTGAATAGAGTTAGAAATGGTACACCTATATTCTTATGTAAGAGTTTTGAATAGAGTTACTAGTAGTACCTTCATTATATATTAGGGATTTCTCTTTTGTTCTTCTTAAATCCCTTCTGGTATAGAAAAGCTTTAAAGTTGTGTTTAGGATAAAGGGTTATATTTTACTTTAATATGCTACCGCAGATTAGGTGTCCTTTTTATGGGCCAAAACCCAGACTCACATACCATCTAATAGTCCCTTCAACTACTCCAACTGTTCTCACTTTGCAGTGTGATGGAACTATCACATGTAATAGTTGAGGCTAATTATGATTCTATTTGCTGATAATCAAGTTCATGTCAGACATGTAACCGAGCCTTTTTTTACTTGGAAATTAGTGTAGAGCTTCTTTGTAGATGATGCATTAATGAGACTGACCAGAAGCCTTGGAAGTGAGTGGAGGCTCCAGGTCGAAAGAGGATTTGTAGTCCTTGATCCATTTACTTGGAGAAGATTTAATGTTTGAATGTTAGAGTACGTCGGAGTGGGGAACCAATGATAAGGGAGAATAAACATATGTTTAGTGAATTAATTAATTAAAACATGTGCACCTTTCGCTTTAGCATAATCATTTGAACCTTTAGCCATTGCCTATGTCAATGTAGCCCATGCTCATGCTCATTCACTCCCTTCATGCATATATGTAGAGGGAGGGTGGAGGGTGCACAGGAGTACAGGCAATGCAAACAACAACAACAACAACAATGAGCAGCATGGCTACGATTGATGACTGTGCTTAACCACGAATTGCACTAGCTGCGTGCAGCCTCTGCTTATGAGACTCCCTAGGTGGGCCCAAACTTTCTATAAAATATTGTGTAACACAATACTAGGGGTAAATCATGTGCCACATGACCGCTGGCAGAACTCTAACCCATTTAAGTGTAACCATCACCTTTCTCAAGGTTCCAGAACAACCTTCCGAAACAGATAGTATTTGTAGGTCTCAGCTGGATGTACAAATAATAGTTTTGACGATGATATGATGTTGTGATAACATGATATTAATAAAGATTTATCAAACAACAACAATCATATGGGTTTTATGCGTACTGCTGCAATTTTTGGCCTCAATCATGGTTTGAATGTTAGGAAGAGCTTTTAAATGGTCTGCGAAGGCAGGGGCAGTCAGATTGATAGGTACATAGATATCAAAAGGAGAGAGACATGTGACTTAATGCCAATTCCAGTGAAAAACTATCGACACAGGCTTTATAATTAGATGGTGTATAGAAACTTGACCTTCAATACAGAACTTATGTATGCACATCAATCAAATTTTAAAGAAATATATTACATATAATGTTGAAGAAACAAAAATAAAGGTCACTATGCCAGAAGGTTGGATCAGCAACATCTGTTGATCATACTTGTTCAGGAACAGGTTTGTCAAGGGATATGCCCCTACAACGCCAGTGACTGCTTTATGCTGAACTTCATTTCTTACCTGCATATATAAAATTCTAATTAATGAAAGAGAATAACCAAATAATAAATTAGAATTTAAAATGATAAACAAAGGGATATACGAAACACATAAAGTGTTTATTATACATATCTTAAGTTCATTTACAGGTTAATACAAATCGTATGGTGATACAGGATTTCATATGGTGATTCAGGATTTCATATACTATAAAAATTACAATGTCTCTGTTGGTACCTATAACAAACTTTAGTAAGAGTTTTAGCTGTTCAAGCATTGGTCTCTCATCATAATTATTATTGGAGTTTTTTTCTGCTTATGCCATCATTAAGAAGCCTAGCTTGATGTCCATAAATCTTCACAAAGAGCGAACAGGATCTTTAGGGCTCTGCCAACCAAGGTCCACTAAGTAGTGTATTCTTCAACTCTGATTTTCATTGGGGCGGCTTGATAGACCTACTTCATTTTGGTTACTCAGGCAACAACTTAAGCTCATGCAATGTCCGACGAAACAGTAAGATGATAATGTCTATAGATAATTGTAGGCGGAAGTAGTCGGTGATATGAAAATATTTGTATATAACACATCCATCTTTGAGGCTCAAAACAATGTAAAGAGCCAAAAGAGTTGTTCTCCCGTTGCCAGAAAATTAAAAACAACTAAGAACCCTTTAACTATCTTAAATCTTTTCCCATACTTGGTTTAATATTTAACTTTATGTGTGCAGGTCCTGAAGTTGATCGCTTGGCAGCAATGGCTGGAAAATATAAGATCTTCTTAGTAATGGGTGTGATTGAGAGATCTGGATACACCCTCTATTGTACAGTTCTTTTCTTCGATCCTCAGGGTCAGTACCTAGGGAAGCACCGCAAACTCATGCCTACAGCACTGGAACGTGTAATTTGGGGCTTTGGAGATGGATCCACCATTCCTGTTTATGAAACTCCTATTGGAAAGATTGGTGCCCTCATTTGCTGGGAGAATAGGATGCCTTTATTAAGGACAGCACTATATGGTAAAGGTAAATATTAAGATTGGATTATAAGGTAAAGTAAATATTTAGACAGCAGCATCATATATGCCTTCTTGTAATTCTGCTGATACAAAAGTTAAGTCATTAGTGTATTGGTATTAGTTGCTTCTTTGGTACTTTTGCAACAGTTTATTTGTTTCATGTCATTGAAGTTCATCAACTTCGAAGGAAAACAATGCATAAACATACTGTGATGGCTTCATTAGATCATTTTGTTCATAACAATTAGTCAATAATTTATGCAGGACTGTGAACTATAGTTGAATTTATTTTCTCTTCGCAAGCCACATTGCTTTGACATTATTTAGTATACAATATTGGTTTTCTTTGGGATTCCTCTGAGTGTGAAATGACATTGTTTTCCAGGCCATAGAAGCTTCTTTGTAATTCGAATCCTGCTCCTCTCAATGCATGTTTATGCATTATATGGTGTCCTTTTAAGTTGTAATAATATATTTAATGTACCTTACCTTTTCATATATTTATTACCTTTCTATCTAGCTCAAAAGCCTTCATACTTGCAATATTGTTCAAGTGTTCTTTAATGCCTGTATAAGGACTTTATAGAGAGATCTGGAGGTATATATAAAATGGCTGGTGCTGCAGAACTTGATAATAAATCCTATGTCATTATTGGTTTAAGACAGAATTCTTAGTTCACAGTAAACATTTATGTTAGATGTCTTTGTACATGTTGTCTATCTGTAGAGGGAACATAATCGGAAAAGTAGAGCTAACAATTCATTTTAAATATCTTAAAGCGTGACTAAATTTTGGCTCATAGTAGTCCTCATCTAGCGCTTATTTATATCTAATCATGTTTAGAAATTTGTGCTAGATTAGCCGGTTGTGGAATAAATGGGACACCTACCCTCTAGGCATCCCAGCTAACATAATCTAAAGGAATTTCATTACTGATGCAACCGAATTATAGAATAATCTGACACCAGATAGAAATTAAAAAAAGGCTTTACTTATGACTTTCTACCTTGGACACATTAACCTTTGCGTTGAAGTAACTGCTTTCCTTTTCTTCCTCCAATTTTGAGTCCCCTTAAATCCACACTATAAACCTAGAATTTCTTCTTTGCTATCTCCATCACAATCACTCTTTTTCGGTCAACTTTCTATTTTCTCCCTTTTCTTCTAAGTTTTTGTCTCTGTGTGTGCTTGTGTGCCATGTGTTTATGTCTTCTTGGTATTCAATCCCACTAGAAAGCTGATTATAAGGATGCATGATGCTTTTATTCACTCGTGCCTCTCCTGGTGATTCGGTTATAAAGTTATGTGGAATTTTCTAAGCTCAGAGTTTTAGTAGTTTATTTTTTTATTAATGTTTTTTTGTCGTTCTCGAAAAAAGGTGTCCCCATCTCTTAAGGTTTTAGTAGTTTATTTATTTATTTATTTATTTTGTCATTCTCGAAGAAAGGTGTTCCCATCTCTTAAGGTTCGACTGGAGTCACCTTTAGAAGTTCTTGGTTGTCTACATTCAGGAGTACTGATCAATATTTAGAGGTTAATTACGCCTCTTTTTTACCTACCTGGCTAGAATTCCAAGTCTAGGATAACGTCAAAATTTCTCCATGTCTTTTCCTGACACATCCTAATAAGTCCTCAATTGAGATTTGATACTTCAGATAAACTTCAATCTGGATGGGAGCTTGACTAGATCTCAATCTAGGTTACCCAAACACTTCATCTAGTCTCTTGTATCCATGTCTGTGTTCGACACTCTTTGGACACTTCTCGAATATATACATACATTTTCAGATATACTCAATTATATAACACATACTTTAGTTCAAAATACTTGTGATACACTTCTTGAATGTATATCATACGGTTGTCCTCAACTTGTACAACCTTGGACTCAGGACAGGTTTGTTTTAGCACATACCTAATTCATAAGTATTAAAGGGTCGTTTAGGTATCTAGTTATAAAACGAGTAGTTTATCAATTTATAATCTCTCAATAAAAGAAGTATAAAATGGTATACGGATTTTAGTTCTCATAAAATGTGAATGAAAAACAATATCAGTCTCATGTAGATTATTAAATTTAATATGTATGTATATAGCCGTGGCCCATGTACCTGTATCCTAACATTTACAACGTTGCATGTCCCCTATCCTCACCCGTTTCCGTGTCTGCACCCGCACCCGTATCTGTGTAATATAGATCTCAATATATTTGACAGCTCCAACTTGTGTTTTGCCTTCCTTGTTCAGTATCCATTTAGCTTGAACATATACTTATTATGGAGATAGAAAAATGAGCTTTCAGATTATGCTAGTCTTGTACTGACATTATCTGTCTACTATCAAGAATTCATAAAAATTGCCAGACTTTGTACTTGTTGGACTTTCATCCTGTTCAGCTTACAATATTCTCATGGATTCTGTAGCGGAATTCTACACATGCAATTAAATAGTGGGAGTAGTTGGTCTCACATTTCATTTTTGTCTTAATTGGATTTTTGTGGATACCTGTTTCTGCCTAACGGGCTTCCACTGGTTCGTTGTTCAATAATTGGCCACTTGCTACTGGATGCTTTCTTATTAACTGAATTAATTTTATACAATGTGAAGATTTTGCAGAAATGGTTTATTTTTTCTCTTAAACTTTAGTAAGACATCTCATATGTTTTTCTTTTCCTAACATTATTATTTCTTTTTTAGTTTTTATTTTATTATTATTTTTTTTTATCTATTGTGTGAGAACTGGACTTGAGTAGAGTTTGATGCATTCACGATGATAGTGTTTTTTATGTTACGAAACTTGCATCACGATTAACATTCTTATGCTAGGAATGAAAGAAGTCAAGTGCATATAGAATTATGACAAAAATTAGGCACACTAATGAATCACAATAGCTAATTGGTGCACGAATATGTCCTTAAAGTAACCCATAGAGTTGATCAGATCATTTAAAATCCAGCTAACCTTCACAAAGTTGGTCAATTCAATTGATGCAGTCTCCCTACTACTGGACTTTGGACTAAAAAATATTTTCATTAAGTATAAGATTATTGGTTTCTTGTCTTGAAGGTATCGAAATATACTGTGCTCCCACTGCCGATGCGAGGGAGGTGTGGCAGGCTTCAATGACCCACATTGCCCTCGAGGGTGGATGCTTTATTCTGTCGGCAAATCAGTTCTGCCGAAGGAAAAACTACCCACCACCACCGGATTATGTGTTTGCAGGTATTGATGATGATGAACCTTCACCGGATACTGTGGTATGTGCTGGTGGAAGTGTCATCATCTCGCCCTCAGGGACTGTTCTGGCTGGTCCTAATTATGAAGGAGAGGCTCTCATATCAGCTGATTTAGGTAAATGAATTTTTTTATTTTTCATCTTGACATCTGATAACTTTGGCTATAATGGTCCCTCCTCTGAGGTTAGAGGTAGCACTGAGTCCAATTTGAGTCGGATCATACAATATCCACTTGTATGGCCACTATGAATTTGTAGAACTAGCGAAACCGCTAAGAAATTTAGAAGTCACTTGAGAATCCAAACCTAAGAATTTATAAGATCCTGATTCTTGTTTTAGATTTTGCAGCATTAAATTTTCTTTCCACTTATGTTACTTTATATTAAGAAGAAAAATAGAAATTTACAAGGTTTTCTTGCTTGTTGATGATTTTATTTTGTTTTAGCATTATTTATCATGCCCAATATGAGCAAACATAGATTTATGCATGTCATGCTTAGCAAAGAGAAATATAAGAGCTTTGCTTCTATGCTCTGCTAAAAGAATTTTATTATTATTAAATTAATTAAAAACGAATAGGCGGTAAAAAGATTGAAGGATAATTTTGTCTCTACAAATTTCTCCCTTTCTGTTTCCGAAAGCTGCGGCTTAATCTACCATCAACGAATGATCACATAGATATAAAAAAATTATTTACAATAAAGAAAATTATAACTCCTAAACAAATTGATTAAATATTATGATGGTGACTGTCATTATTTTCTTTCAATATATTATGTATGTATATGTTCCAAATAACATTACTTGAGTTTTTTGATAAATAAAAGTCAGTAAAAGTGCATATTTGTATCTCAAGCTATATCCATAAAATAGAACCCATCAATTTACTAATTCAGAATCATATAGTCATCAAGTTTTAGATGATGGAATCTTTGGGTCTTAATTTGACGCATGATTGTTAACAAAAAACTCTTTAGCAATGCACTCAGACTATGTGTTCATGTGTGATAGAGAGAGGCCATGCTAACTGTACGAGCTTTTGTGCCAAAAAATTGTAGGTGACCTGATTAATTAAATTAGAAACATAAATTAAGTTCTTAATTTAGTCAATAAATTGCATTAGATGTCTTGCTTACTTAAGAGTATTTTCACTGTCATTATCCAGTGACTTCATAAAGGCACAGAGCAATCATCATAGCATAGTTTCACATAGAATGAAAACTTTTAAAAAAGACAAATTGGGATACTTGTCATAGTTCTTCTCATTACGATAGTGTCAGTGATTGCATTGTTAAACGTAATTAATCGCATGTTTTTTGTTGAACATATGGTATATGAGGAAAATTAGATTTTTTGGCAAAATTAATCACAAATAAAAGAGTACGATACTGGACTAATTTTTAGATGAGTTCTACTATAAAAAATTTCCAACGGAAAGAATAAATAAAGAGAAGTTGGAAAGGGAAAAAAGAATGGAATTCACATAGGTTGAATTGTTTGATTTTTAAAGGAAATAAAAGATATGAGATTTATAAGTTAAATAACTAGATATTTTAAGGAATTAAGAAATGAAACGTGGTAGGCATCTGAACGTGTATGTTGGTTAGAGGGATATTTATACTTCCTAGAGTGACCTTATTTCCCTGGTAGGAGTTCTAGTAAAATTACAATTTTGGGAGTGGAACAGCTATCAACCATCTTACCCCGTAAACTGCCGATGTGTGAGATTTTCATGGAAACATATTATCAAATACGCCAGTGGTACTCTATTGGAGCTCCGAAGCAGTTGCATATAATTTAGGTACAATTAAATGAACTAACTAATCTTATAACTGTTTATTGGTTATCGGCTTTGAATTTTTGAGGATCGACATCTGAGATTCAATAAGAAATGGAATCTATTTGTAGCATCTATATCCAGTCCTGTAAGATATTTGGAATGATTCAAGGTCCAGACCTGAAAGTTTCAGGTTGATTGCAGGTCAGGGTATAATGACCCATTGCCACCTCAGGTATAATGACCCATCGCCACCCTACCTGATGATGGCTGAGACTTGGGAGCAATGAATTATAGGATCACTTTATCTTCTCTCTTTAATACCTTTTCTTTTCTTTTCCTAGGAGAAGCTTGTTGATGTTTAGTTTATTATGTTCTCTTGCTCTTAATATTTGAATTAAGCCTTTTGTGATACTTTGATCAAAAAAAAAAAAAAAAAGCCTTTTGTGATATTTTTTGGGACTTGTATGAGATACTCTTACATACTTCAACACTGATCCGCAGATCTTGGGGAAATAGTGCGAGCCAAGTTTGATTTTGATGTTATAGGACATTATTCAAGGCCAGAGGTGCTGAGCCTAACAGTTAAAGACCATCCACAGAATGCAGTCTCGTTCACATCTGCTGCTAAGGCTGAAAGCATGTAACAAAGTAATCATTAATGTTGTAATGCGTTCAGTATTATCATTGCATAACAAATGTTCACCTTGATGGCTCCATTGTTCATATTAGGGAAATATTGCATCAGTGCAATTATTTAACGGGTACCCAAGTGAAGATATTTCAGTCTTTCGAAAAACCATAGACTGAATGTGCATCCTTTGTTTTTTCTGTGTATTTGTATGGAGATATGTTCTCTCTCGTAGCTTCAATTATCTGTTTATATTAGATATGTTTCCAAGTAAATCTTGTCAAAAGGATAAGTCAGTAGACTGAATTATGCAGCAGCATATATCTGAGAACAGTACAATGCTGTTATCAAGAAATCTTAATATTAAAAAAAGAAATCATTAATATTTATTATGTATTTATTTACTGTATTATGTTTTTTTTAACTTTGTCAATAACAGATAATATTGCCAATTTGTCATAATAAAAAGACTCACGGCGATTTAGAGAATGCTTTGGGAGTATCCGAAGTACGAGGTGTACTAAAGACCTGTTAAATAGAAGGGCTTGGTTAATCTATTCTGGCTCAATTTATTTTAATCTTATTTAGGTTATGTGTTCAAACGTATTTAATTGAATATTTAATTAGTACCCATCTTACTTTCGTTCTGACATGAGACAAAATACTTCCTGCGTTTTTCCAAATTAAGCTCACACTTACCGGATATGTGAGGCACTCTTAACGCAAATACGCCTTTTGTAGAGCTTAGAAATGTAGCGACAACGATAACGATCACAATGAGCAACGTACACAACCAGAAGAACAAGCCCGACAATGGCCAGACATATGTAGGATCATGATTCTATTCTCCCAATTATTTTGTGTTTGAAAGACTAAAATGGGTTAACTACTACAAAACAGGCTAGCATCAACGGTTCTAACCGTTAGGGAAGATGTTGACCCCAACAGACAAAAGCGTTGGTGAAGAAAAGACCCGCTGGGACAAAGTCAATCCTAACGGTTATATCCGTTGGTACAGATAATTTTTTAATTTTATGTTTGAAATATAAAAAAACAATACCAACGAGTTAAACCATTGATGTTGATTATTGCACCAACGGTTTAAACCGTTGGTGCTTAAACTTTACCAGCCCCAACGGTTAGAACCATTGCGGCAGATTTATCCCCACCCCCAAAAAATTGAAAACCTGCCAGTTTCTCCTGTGGTGCATAAAAATATTCATACCCCAAAAAATATATATAATCAACCTGTTCACAACAATCTCACGCAATTATACAACTAAAAACATACGCAATAAGCCAAAACAAAAAGATTTACTAGAATGAAATGTGAGTAGTAATTTTTAAACAACTAAGTCACGAATATAAAGAGTATAAAAAATGTACAATGTCTCAAATATCTAAACTGTATAAGTCACTGCTGATTGAATCGAAGAAAATCAACAAATGCCTTGCAGATGTCCTCCTCGCAGTAGCCCTCCTGCGTTATGTCCCTTAATAAGCCCCCAGTCGACTTGCAAGATGATTTTATGTTGAAATATCTCGAGGAGAATGCTAAGCAACATAAGTAGAACCCTGAACATCCGAAGAAGGCTGAACAAAAGCTGGTGGAGTAGCTGAAACAACAGAAGGTGGATAAGTGGTATGATAATCAACTTGTAAAGTAGTAGGGTGTACGTAATAAGTGTGTAAGGAGATGAGATAATATTGAACATTTATTTAAGAGGTTACAAAAAGTAGTATCATGAGTATTAATATTAAGCCAATGTCTTGGTGAAACAATGTATTTTGTATTGGACGGTAATCCTTGATACGGGTGTATCTTCTTCCTTGCTTCGGGATCTTAGCAATCCTCATAGGAGCTTGAAGATAGACGATTCTCAGGGTAGCTTGAGAATAGAAGCGTGGGCGGAGTCGCCGAAGGCAGCAAAAGTAGTCAAAAGTAGGAAAATAGCAAAACTCAAAAAAACTGGCATCTGGGCTCTGGCCGGTCGACCGCATGATCAGCATCAGTCGACCGAAAACGTGCACGCTACAAGTGAGAGTCGTGTGTTCTGGCCGGTCGACTGGGATCCATCATCGGTCGACCGATCGGTCGACCAAAATCAGCATCGGTCGACCGATATCAGAAAATCCTGCAGGGTTAAAAACCCTCGCTCTAGCTGGTCGACCGGTCCAAGCAGGTCGGTCGACCGGTCCAAGCAGGTCGGTCGACCGGATCATATTTCCTGGGTTGACCTGGACTTTGTTTGGCGCAGATTCCAAGTTCTATTGGGCTTTGTTATTTACGAGATTGCCATCCATATTGTTAGACATAAATAGGGATTGTTTAAGGTTTCTAATCATCAGATTAGATTTTAAAGGGAATAGTGAGATTGTTCTTTATTCTAGAGAGATTGTGAGGAGAGATTTTGTAATATTTTATTCTTTATAATTTAGAGAAGGTGCTCGTTCGGCGACTCATATTAAGTTGGTATCAGAGCCTTCAGATCATGTGAAGGGGGTGTCCTATGCCGTAGGTGTGAATTTCTGATCTCCCGAAAACGGGGATTTCATTTGTATTGATAAGAATAACTTATTACAAACTAATGAATCAAAAATTATAACAGAAACGGAGGGAATGCCCTCCTTGTTTTACGTGGGGACTTTCGGTAGCTATAGGACGCTTCGCTCGGTTCTCGCGCCGAGTCTGCTTCACTTGGACGATTCGACCGAGGTTGCTGGCGAGCTTCAGTACGCAGTAGAAGCACGGATCGATGGAGTTTGAGTTTCCGAGTTTGAAGGCGATCAGGGCCCGAAACTAGGAGAAGATGCTGCAGTGCAAAGATTATGCAAATAGCTTGTCGTCAACTCTCTTGAGAGTCGAGAGCCAGTGGTTCAGTTAACTGATTGAATTAATCAATTAGCTATGAGCGAACTGCTGAATTCCGAAGCCAGGAGAGGTTCTTAAATAGAGGAGAGACGGTGTGGCCGCTCCTTGAATCATGGGATATGACCATGTCTTGGGTTTGTACTGTGAGCGGCTGCTTGATGGGTTCGGAGTACTGTACTCCTTCCTTTCACGTCGTGAGGAGTGGGATGACCCCTCCTTGTACGTGGGATAGCGGCTGTCCAGCACTCGAGTGGGTTTAGCCAGCTTGCCATTTGCAGGCGGATTCAGCTCTTGACTCGTGCAGGCGAGGCGAGCTTCCTGCAGGCAGATCTGGCGAGTGACCGGTCACTCGCACCGTGAGCGGCTACTTGATAGGTTTGGAGTACTGTTCTCCATCCCTTCATGTCGTACGGGAAGTGGGAAGGCCCATCCCTGTATGCAACATAGCGGCTGTCGAGTACTCAAATGAGACCAGTCAGCTTGCCGTTTGCAGGCGGATTCAACTCTTGACTCATGCGGGCGAGGCGAGCTTCAACTTGAGCGTGCAGGCGGATTTGATGACTGCATGGATTTGACTGGTCGCGGCTACTTGATGGGCTTGGAGTACTGTTCCCCATCCCTTCACGTTGTGAGAAGAGGGATGACCCCTCCTTATACACGGCGTAGCGGCTGTCGGGTACGAATTCGACTCTCGACTTGTGCGGGCGAGTTGAGTGAGCAGGCGAATTCGGATGATCTTGACTCGTGCGGGCGAGTCGATCATGCTGGCGAATCTGGATGAACAACCGCGGACGAATTTGGGGCTCGTGTGATTTGGGTTTGCGCTAGTTAGTCCAATACATGGGTGAGCCCCACCCTTAATTTGAGTGGGTGATTCTGACTCGCGGGCGAATTCATGTATAAGTTTGTGGAGGTAATTTTTTACCGTCTACAAGAACCCCTTCAAAGTTTTAAGACCTAAACCGGCTCGCGTGTGGTCTGGAATACTTTGAATAAGGAAGTTCCTGGCGAAGCAAGTGTATTTGGCTCCTTTTAGGATTTTTAGCAAACCCTCAGCTATCAACGGGTTTGATTTGCCTTTACCGATCACTGTTTGAATCGGGCTAGCCATACTATTCCCCTCAGTATGATGAGTTGTCGAGTAGTTTCTCTTAGGCTTAATGCTAAGATTTCTGCTCTAACCCTTAGCCGTTCGAGACGTGGGTTTGAGTGAGGACATTCCATTGGTGGTTCAAAACTCTGGACGAGTCGGATCGTTCAGGCGAAATTCATTTTCACAGGTGGAATTTGAATTTGGGCGGTTGAGCCAGGTTTTTTGCCGGCGAAACCCTTCCTACAGGCGGAATTCGATTTGGCAGGAGGTGAACCACGTGTTCGCCGATGAAGCTTCGTGCTTTCCAGCTAAGGTGGCGTGGGCTCGTCAGGTCGCATCGATTGCGATTTTGACAGTATGACGTCAGCTTCGTGCACCTCGCTCGATGACGAATCGTGGCCGTGGTTTTTGAATTCAGCCGTCAGATTCGGTTCGGGTCCTGGGTTTTGACCGGCCCGTTTCCTATTTTGACGGTTCCTTCGTAACCGCAAAAAGAGAACGAACCATGGAGAGTAATTTGGGCTGTCGATTTCGATCGTGGCTACGTCTCTTAGCCGCCAGGGTTTCGCTTCTTGAGGGCGATCGTGGCCACGTAAGCATTTTCGCCTTTAAATAGGCTTTGTTCCCCTCCTTTTGAGAGCTACTGTGCTCGAGAATTTCGTTTCGTGAAAGTTTTCTAAAGAGAAAGAATTCCCGCTTCGTCTCCGACTCTTAGACATGGCGCCGAAATCTAAGAAATGCGTTGCAAAGGGAGGAGGTCCTAGACGCTATTCTGATCGTCTCGCTGCCGGTACGATCGCTAGCGTGCCTGAGACGCATTTGGGTAAGTCGAAAGATTTGTCTGACGACTTTGCGTTGATTGCCGACGTCGGGTCGGGAGGATGAGTATCGCTCGTCTTCCCAAGTAGATTCTACCATTTTTTAGCAGTTTTTCTGGTTTGGGTAAAATCGGCCCTTTTCAGGCGGATTTTACATTCGTTTGCAGAGGAAGACTTCTGTCTTTACAGGCGAAGTTGGCCTTTATAGGGCGAGGGTGAATTCATCTGTGACAGGCGAGTTCGACTTTTGTCTCATAAAGACAAATTCAACCTATACAGACAGATCTCGTCTTTGTCAAGCGGACTTTGCCTTTTTGACAAGCGGATTTACATTTGTCTGGCGATTTTGCCTGTTTTGGCTTAATAGGTGGATTTACCCTCCTGCTAGGGTGGATTCCGTTCTAATTCTTTGGTTCTACCTTGCAGCGACCTTTTCTAACGAAGCCCTTCC